GTTTAATTACAAATACTGAAAACTGCATACGTACTTGAGGTTAAAATCTCATTGGGGAAAAGAATTAATTTGCATTATAATTTCGTTACATTTGCGTCAAAAATTAGCTTCCTGTAGAGAACTTAAATTTCTCACTTCAACAAAGATATGAGTTAGTTTTATGGACTTTTTTTTTGTTATTTCGGGGTATTAGCAAGATGCAAAAATGAGTTAAGAAAACTGTTTATGATTCCAAACATTTCGCAAAGTTAAATGTCATTTCATTCAAACTTTCTTTTAACGCAGTGTTAATGAAATAATTATTCGTTAAAATGATAATAAAGAATTAACGTTATAAATGTGTACGTTATTAATTAATATTTTGAAGACTGCTAGGACGTTTGGAGTAAGAAATATGGAAAATTAACTGTGCTTTCACCGAGAGAGATTCGAAACGCGGATCTTTTAGCTAAGAGTTGGACGTGTTAGCTTAGGGATTCTCAACCAGGGAAGCATTCTCCCTAGGGATAGTTTCAGAGTTTCAGGGAGATAGAAATGCGGTCAGCCTTTTCTTATAAATATAAAAACTACTTATATTCAAGTATTAGTATTTTATATATTTTCCAACATTTTATAGACATGTACCAACATTTTATATATTTTCTGTTGTTCAATTTATAAAATACGTAAAAAATAATCCAATCTAAATGAATCTATATAGGTATTTTTAGAGTTAAAGGAAGAGGGACGCTCTTCTAGCAGTGGGAAGGGGTACATGGAGCAAAAACGTTTGACAACAATGTGTTGATCACTTACAGCATAACAGCAACGTGCAGGGATGATTCCTTAAATTCCTCCCCAACGAAGCGGGAAGACGCACGAGACAGAGTCCTGCTGATAAAAGATAAAACTGAGCTAGTAACTACTAGATATCGTCCGCCACATCTTATTTTTGGGCGCCATCGCAGAGAACTGCAGTAGTTTTGGAGTAACAAATGTTAAAAATCGAATATACCGTCACCAAGATTCGAGCCACGAAGCTCTCCAACGGACAGATGCACATGGTAGCCATATATAACATACCAGAATGCTCAGGAAATGCGATAATTCTTTACAATAAATAAAAATTAAATCTCATCTATATGTTTGTTATTCATTCACTCAGACAGTTCGTGAATCGGTTTAAATTTTTCATGAAGATATGTAATGAATGGATTAGAACATAAGTCATAACACGCTTGAAAGTTCAGCCGCATTACCTAAGGAAGTCCGGAAAACAATAATAATGTAACAAGCAACGATAAATTAATCAATCAAGTTAATACACATAAATTAAATAACTTGATTCAAGCAACGATTATTAAAATGTAATAACATCTTATGTTGTATATGTTTGCGCAGAAATATGCGGGGGAGGGTTCGTGTCCTTGTTATATGGTAATTTAATGAAAGATTCAAGTACAGAGATTCGAAGCGTACATTGGGGATAAAATTATATGTGCGTCTTTCCTTGGAGCATCGTTCCACAAATCTTGCCGAGAGTTTTTACCAGTTGACCCATGGTACATCGCTGGTGGTCCCCATACTTTTTACCTATACGTGCACCTGTTGTATGTGTTTCTAGTTAATTTCATCTATTGCGTCGTGACGCACACGTGAAATATGACGCAATGTCATTCATGTTTTCATGATTGCAACAGCTGTTACTTTCCCCTCCTGAACAGAATTTAAATAAAATCTGGCATAAGTAAGAATCAAAAGACAATGTTCAAAGACTAAGTTTGGAAGGTTCTTTTTAATTAACATGTTATTTCGTATGTTGAATCTTTTCTGCTAATCTACTCTTTCCTCTGCTCCTCAGAATAAATAAATGGAGTGAGTTTTTAACAAGAAACTGGAATCTAAGTTTAGGAGGAAGTCCTAGCAACCACAGCCTGTCATAAATAAATTCCTTTGGTTCCGTCTGCCTTTCGCGCTGTTGAGTGTAACTTAGTGGTCATGAAATAGCGAAGCCAGATTTTTAGTTTAGTAAAAACTTTCAATTACGGTTGTCTGTCCATCCCATTAAGAAGCAAATAATTCTGTTTATTGTTTTAGTTCTGTAATTTTAAACAGGCATTAGATTTTTTTCCGAAGCAAACAACGTGAAAAATCAGCTATGCCCTCACCGGGATGAAAACTTCGAATCTTCGGATTGCCAGTGTGCTGCTAGTTAGATCAGGATATTACGCAGTAGGGAAGACAAAAATCCCTTTATTTTCCCCTACATTAAAAAAAAAAAAAAAAAAAAAAAAAAACCACCCGATTGAGGAGGGGAGAACGAGATACCAACGCCCAAATGTAGATTATGAAGAACTACTGCAATCACAATTTTAGACGAACATCAACGAAGAGCTATTATATTTTTTCAAGCCAGAAACATAAAATTCAGCTATACCCTCGTTCGCGTTCGAACTCTGAATCGTCCGATGGTAGTCGGACGTACTATCAGTTACACCCTGAAAACAAGCAAGGAAAAGCGTGAAAATGTTTTCTGAACTTGAAAATAAAATTTATGGAAATCTTTTAGTTGTTATGAATTGTTGTAATTACTTCAACGTTCTGGTATTAAAAACATAAAGATGGGTTGGTAATGCCTTCTCCAGCAGAAGTTTTACCAAACTAAGTTTAACCTTACAGGTTATCGAATGCGGCATCTGGAAGGATACAGAAATATTCTACGAATTTTTGTTTGCAACTACTAAAGCTATTAGAGAGCGTGAATGTCGTCAGTGGACGTTCCTTATTTTTTGTTCAAAAATAAGGAACAGATGTTCCTTAATTTTTATCAGAATTATGAGATTAGCATGGCGGTGTCGAAGAATGTGATATAACTTCTTCTATATCCATACCGATACCTGGTATAAAATGCATGTCAGTACTATAGGAAGCAAAAAAGCAGCCTGTTCTGAAAATCTCTGCAGGCCAACGAAAGGAAATTACTAGAATAATAAATGCTATTTAAGCAAAGTATGAAAAAAGGTCATGCTAAGACTATTTTTTAAAAGACAGACGTGCATTCATCAAAATTATAAATGTTATTTTGAAAAGGAAAATGAAAGAGTGCTATTAAAAAACTTTTATTCAATATATGTAAAAAAATAGAAGTTGTACAAAGCACAATGTACGTCTTTATTATCAAAGAAACAATATATGAAATTATGGAATGAATATAGTAAAAGCACGGATTATGCATGAATGCATTAAATGTATGGACATTCGAAACGAATCGGAGATTTGATGTTTTGCCTGCTCGTGATTTGAGTCTCACAGAATGCCTAGGAAGTGTATGAAATGTATATTGTTTCATGCATAGGCCGGCCAGTTTTCGGCTTAGGTGCTCTTTAGAATGCCGGCCTTTTTTTTTATACATCGTCGATAACATATAGTATATATATATATATATGTTACGGTGAAACACCGAAAACCGAAATCCAGAGAATGTCGAATTTCACCGGTGAATGTCAACAATCACCTAGTCGCTTGGTGTATGTCCGAAATATTTTCCAAATACTCTTATTGCTGACTTACACAGGTAAATGTCGACATTCACCATGTACTAATGGTGAATGTTCAACATATAAGAATATTAGATTTTCTTCTCCGTAATTCAGTCGCGAAAAAACGCACTTAAGAGTCAAAATAAGAACGCAAGAATATAAAAACTTAAAACCCACGGTACATTCAAAATGAGAAAGGAAAATAATAGAAGTTAAAAACTTACTTAATTATACAGTACGTTCTAAATGAGAAAATAAAATAATAGTAATAAAAAACTTACTAAATTATGTGATTCAAATCTTATTTATTCAACAATTTAAACTATTATGATACTTTATGACCTCCCTTTTGGACCTACACCAGAACATATCTGTGACTGTCGACATACACTGGTGAGGGTCCGAATGTACAAGAACGTAATGCAATATTCGATCTTTCACCGACGTATTTGGTGAATGTTGACATTCTCCGGTGAAAGTCGACATTCTCTAATTTCGGTCTTATATATATATATATAAACTTTAAATAAAATAATAAAAAATGTAGAAGTCAATTTTCAAATTTAGAGCTCAAATTTATGATAATAATTTTATAACAAAGTTTAAACGTATACCTATCTATAAAAAATGCTGAATACATTTAGAAAATCAGGAATTTTAATCGAATAGCTATTTTTTGCTTAATATCCTCTAGATCTTTCTTTTTAATTTTTGCACTTACTGTATAGCGATGCATATTCGCACTGTTTGTATAACGACATGATTTATTTCAAAAATAATGCCTGTCAACTTCCGAGCAGTAAAGTCGTTAAACACATGTATTTCGATCTAGGTTCGACTCCAAGTGAACGAACTGACCACATGGGAATTTTTGAGTTTTCCTCATGAGGATATAGGCCAATTTTGGTTAGAAAGTGCTTCGCGAGGTCATCTTTTCCTTTAGGCAGATAGCCTTCGAGTGCTTTGCCACAATTAAATAAAATAATAATAAAAAAGTTACTTTAAAAATAAATTTATTCATTCAATTCATAACTCAGAGAGCAGTAGATTTCAAATATTTAAATTAAATTCCCGATCATAATGCACTGCATGAGCAACTACTCTTCTTTTTTTATATCCCCTTTACCTGAATAGAATCTGGGTATAGTCCACGAATTCTGCAAAATTCCTCATGGCCAAGAGAAAAACAATCACACTGGCCAATTGCTTATACATTTGTTCAATTGTGTCTAGCTCCATTCCAGTTTTGATAAAGAATATTTTGAGAGACGGAATATTAAGGTGTCGCAACCTTTTTTCCAAACCACCAACCTCTCAAGGGGGTTTGAGGTTCGATGGATGTTGTGAAATAAAGGTATAAAACATTGAAAAAAATGTCTTTCAGGATTTGAACCTGCACCCAAAGATAGTATCCATCACTGCCATATCGAACACGTCAGCCCGATTAATTCATTAATAAAAAAAAGAATTAAAAATACTTACATTCTTGCATAAGCGAATATCTCGGTTCGCTCATATCGACAGGAATGTAACTTTTCAGCCATCTGATGGTGGGTGGTGGTATTCCTTCTGCCCTGCAAGGGAGGACAGCGTTGCGCCCTTTTTCCACGCCCTGGATCTGCGGCTGAAGAGAGAAGCGTGGGAAACCGAATGGTACCTCAGACTCTAAAAAAAAAAAAAAAAAAAAAAAAAAAAAAAAGAAAGACGCTTTTGAATGACACTCAACACACATACAAAAACAAAAACAACAACAATAAAAAAAATTAAAAAAAACCCCGAAAACATCATAGAATCTGTGTCTAAAACAAAAATTGTATTACAAAATTGATGCTAAAAGTTACATCACAAAGGAAGTTAACGGATCTTCCAACGAAAATCGCCACGCAACTTTCGAGTATTAACAAACAAGAGGGAAATAGGCCGCATGTATACCAGCGCGGAACTAGATAACATGCTTCTAGCATATACTTGTTCTTTACACTTTATTTTTTTAGTCTAAAAATCGGCAGGGTAAAATTATGCGAATAATTTAATTTTCGAAGGACGCGGTTACAGCAGAAACTTAAAACTAAAAGTAGTCATAATAAATAAACTACAAAGAAAAACCACAATATTATTTGATTTAAAGAAACTTACTTTCAAATAAGAACACATATTAAAATTAACGTTAGAATAGCTAATAAGATGGCTTCATTTCTATTTTATGTCTTTCTTATCAAACTTTATGACAGTAACTTGACTTACCCATTTTTATTGTTGTCTTTGCTACATTTCAGGCCTCAAAACCATCCCTAACTAATTAAAATAAATGAATGTCCAGCCGACTCAGCAAAATCATAGAACGAATGGAAGTTGGTGTTCTCTTCGCTGTCATGGATGGGTCTTTTATTAGATTGGTGTGAAGTTCAATATTTAGGAGGAAAATGTTCGGCATGATCTTCGTAGGTAATTTCTGAGGGTTTGCCTTTGCTAATAACTCGAAAACAATAACTACATGGACAAATCCATTTTAAAATTTAGGGGAGCTTGTTTTATGAACGCACAGAGGAAGGAGAAAATTACGCGAATATTTAAAAAATTTTCAGTACTTGCGGCTCTAAAACTAGAGATAAAATTCTGCGAAGAAATATGTTAAGAAATATATTTACTAATCCTTTCTCCTGACAGTTGAAAAGGGGGCAAAAATTTATGTCATGTGTTGCTAGTTTGACATCCCCATTTTTGACATTCACCAAATAAAATTTAGCAAAGAAAGTTTTTATTTTCTTTAGATGCTTACTAATTATACTAATTATGCTGGTTTTTAAGAACAACAATGGTTTTTACCTCTGTTACTAAGTAATGAAGAATTTGTATGTATGTTTGCCTGTTGTCAACAATTTGGAAAATGGCAGTTTAAAAAATGTTAAAAAACAAAACTCTTCAAACAGGCAATACCCCAATTCAAAAAAATCAATGGGGGAAAAAAAAAAAACGAACATAATAGAAGAATTCAATTAACTTCAATGCCACTTCGTCAGGAGGAGGAACGCTGAAATCATTTGAAATCTCTCTTTCACAAAAATCCTGCCTTTTCTGTATCCAGAATTAGCCACTAAACCATTTCAATGCATTTTAATTATAATGGTTCACCCGAAATTTCTGGCTCCTTCCCAAAGCAAAGAGAAAATAAAATAAATTCTAATTAGAATCTTGTACATTAAATAAAGAGAATTTACCCGGCCTTTATTTTAAGCAATCGTTGGCCGGTTGCTTAAAACTCGTACTTCCAAGAACAGGAGTGTTTTGACTCTTTATGTCCCAAATTACTTCATTTTTGGAAAAGAGTTTATAACTTTTTTATTATAATTCTTTATGCATGAGAAACATCTCACAATAAAATTACAAGCTTTTCACTGCCTTTTATTAAAATTTAAAATTGGGATTAAAAGTTCCGTCGGGACATAATTGAGCGATTTTTATTAATGGGACTTTAAAATCCCGTAGCGAAATAATGGGCTAAATGACTAAAATATCCACTTTTTGGCAATGTCGAATTAAATAAAAATAATTAATTTTATACAAATTAGGAAATCTAACTAGTAATGGGGTCTACCGGTTTCCGTGCTTATATTTGGGAAAGTTTTAGAAAAGAAAATTGCTAAGAAAAAATAAAATTATAAGAAGTTTAACTCCAATAAGATAAAAAACTGACCGGGATATTTAATTTCAAAATTTGCGATATTTGATGTCATTTTCAACTTTGAGGAATTGGTTAATTAAGTTAGAATCATTCTCTTAAATAAATTTAAATAAAATGTAGCAAAAAGTACGTATTATTCAATAGGCTGTACAAAAAAGTCATGTGGTCCCCAAATCAGATTTTTTTATGTATTCTGCAAACTTAAGGAATGAAATTGTAATTAAAAAACTCAAGGATTTAAAAGCAGTGAGTTGGAGTCTGTAAAGGGTAAGATATTTGTCTTTCATATTTAATGAATGAACTCAGAGATTTAAAAAAAAACGTATTGCCATTGCCTGAAATAACATAATTTCACCCTCCACGCGCCAGTATATTGCCATTTGACAAGACGTAAGATATAAAATTTATTTTCGAATTTAACATATCTCTTACTAATTGAAAAATTAAGCAATTTAAAAGCAACAAACACAGTTTCTCATCTTTATTATTACTATTAAGTAGCAGCTTTCGCGGGCAGCAGATTAAAATAATTATTTTAGAAAATATATAACGACTCTAACGAGTCCACTTAATATAATTTCACAGGTCGATCTAGAAATTAATAATAGTGGTCGAAGAAATGCGTTTATTGTTTTTAAATCGCTTAGTTTGTTAATCCATAACAGACAGAGATTAAATTGGAAAGCAATATTAAATATCTTACGGTTTGTTGATGACAACACATTAGCGGATGAAAGATAAAAATATTTCATTCAGGGCAGTTACAAAACTGCTGATTAAAGTTGAAAGACAAATATTTTACACTTTGCCGATTGGCAAATTATTTGTTTTGAATCGCTGAAACTGTCGATTAAATTTTAAATACAAATGCGAACGCTCTGCCATTGCTGAGTTTATTTATCAAAATTTCATTACGTACGCATGAAACATAAAATAAATAAAAACCAATTTAAAAATTTGGGATTCAATGTGTACGTAGAAGGGGAGAAGATTACACGTGTTAAAACTTTGGTGGCTCTAGGCGTGACGCACTATCACGTTGAATGAAAATGCGTTAGAAGAAGTATTTAAGGAAGGTTTAACTAACTTCGATAGAGAGTGCTAGGAGTTCTTAGTGGCGTGTGTTTGTCTTCTGGCTAAGTCACTCTAGACGGTGTTACGCTCGGCCGTATTATACGTGCCCATTGATATTCGTCAGCTAATTTAATTTAAAGGTCAACTACGTTAACTATTTGTGTTTACCTTCGGCTTACTCTCGTTTAATTAATTTTAGTTTAGCTTCTTATTTCTTATTCTGAGTCAAAGCCCGAGTAGAGGCTTCCTGTCAGCCCGAGAAGGGGCAGACTGTTATCCTTATTTGAGTGAGTAAAAGGGTAATTTAACCTTTCTCTTCTTCATCTTAGTTGTTTGAACTCAGCGATAAGTCGCTACATAATTCATTAGATTCTTCACATTTCCTCTTAGACAAAGCCTTAACAAACCAATTGCTGGCTGAGCAAGCGTCTAGTCATTCAAATAATTGATCCAATAGAAATAAAGGTGTTATGATTCTGAAACTTTAAACAGAACAAAATTTCAAACCAATTCACAGAATATGTTTTAGTAAAAGCTAGAAATTAAAAATAAAAAGGAATCAAAAATATTCAAGAATCAAATTTTTAAATTTAGCTTTAAATTAAAAAAAAATATTTTGGGGGTAATCTTATTGCAACACAGAATCTAAGCAAAATTAATTTACTGTATCTAGAATGATTTACTGAAACACGTACTGCAGAGTATCAGATGCAAAACAACATTTTAAATCGTATCTTGCAAACGTAAAAGTAGTTCTACGAATTTCCTTTTCTGAAGCTTTTAATTACATGATTCAATATTCTAACAATTCTGACAAACTGCTGAACTTCAGCCGAATTTTGTGACATAACAGCAGAAAATTTAATTTAATATAGTAGAATATCGTATCCATTTTAAGGCCTTTATTCAGTAGATATTAAGATACAGTAACATTACGATTCGCCTATTCTGACATTTGACTTTTACTTATCTGCAACAGTTACACTTTGTTGAGATCAAACATTGCTTCATATGTAAAAGACCCAGGCTTCATATGTAAAAGACTCATATGTAAAAATCGATAAAGTTTCAGAAAACAGGATTATTCTGTGTGTTATTAAATGACGCTAGTACTTGCAGCTTAACGAAATTAAAGTAGGCATGAACAGCACGACAGCGCATAAACCAGAATAGAATAAATGCATTCTTTAAAATTCCCTTTGTTTACCATAGCGACACTCTGGCGCTAGGTTTACTTAACAGTATTATATTTCGTTCATATTATAACTCAGAATGCACAAAATTTATATCATTTAAAGAATTATCTAATCGTTGCCTCATGTTTTATTCAAATACTATAATAACGTTAGAACGATGTATAAAAGAAATTAAGCAAACAAAACAAAAAAGAAACAGTTTTTCACAGACGATTGAGTATTTCTCATTCCATTAATTCAGTTCTCACTTCGCAAGTAGGCAACAATACATAATCAAAATATCTATATTAAAAATTACGAAGTAAATCTTAAACACTTATTTCCTCGAAAAATTTCCAGAAAAGATTAAGCATGATTTAATTGGCAATAATAAATGAAGGCGTTATCTTTGTTGTTGCGAAGCTGAGTTTCTCTAGATTGGCAACAAATCCACTAGTCTGCTGTTTCAAATGTAAACAATCAATTGCCGCCATAAAAAAAGGCTTAGCGGCACTTTATTGCTTAGCTTAGAGGCACTATAACAATTTTAAAATTGTTGATAATTCTAAAAATATTGCATACAGATTTACTAAAGGCATAAAAACCTTAACCGGAAAATAAGAACAACATAATTCAATCATATTTAAAGCTAAAAATGTACAATTTACAAACATATAAGAGTAAAGAAACTGAGATCACTCAGCCGGGTAACAGAGTGGATATATATATAAATA